CAACTGGACGGAGCTAGAAAGGATTGCCCAGGACAGGGTTGGATGGAGAACGCTGGTGAGCGGCCTATGCTCCTTCACGAGGACTAACAGGCTTAAGTAAGTAAGTACTGTTTAGTAAAATATCAACAAACGTTTTGGGTTTAGAAATTAGATATTCAATAAATAAAACATTTAGTGGAAGGCATATCGATTAATTGTTATAGATGCTGTTACTAAAGATCCATGAAATATCCTTCCTCATTATTTAAAACTTTACACATTAAAATTACTACAAATCATCAGGATAGTCTATGCCTAGAATCATTCTGATTTGTACAGGGCAATAGGCAAAACTGACCTATCAAATCTGATGTAGGCCACTGGCTTTGTTTATCAGTACCTCAACTAATAAGTTATGCACAAAATCAAACCCACTATATAATTTATTTGATGATAATTACAAAGTACTTATAGGGTTAGCAATTTATTTTTTCATAAATCAAAGATATTTAATTGTTTATAACGGCTCAATAAATTACTGTTTTATATTGTAGATATGAGGAGACTTTTTTTGTTTTTTTTTATCTACCTTTTTTTGGTTTTTACCGCGGACTATGATTGATCAGAAAACTTAATTGAAAAGAAAAGAATTATCATGATAATTTCATAATATTTAGCAATGTGCTTTGGAAAATCAGTTTAAGATTTTAATTATTTACTTTACTTACTTATACCTGTTACATCCAATGGAGCATAGGCCACCGACTAGCATTCTCTAACTCATTCATCAAAATAAAATGCATAATTGTACCATAAGAATCAAATAATAAAAACAATGATCTTTGTTCTAATTTGACTTAATAACATTAATGATAAACAATAATTTTTTTTAAAATTTTCATTCATATATAATGGTTGATTAGTTCTTCCTATCGATGTCTACAACTGGTCTCTTTTTGGTATGCATACCATATTCACCTCTACTGGAAAAAATAACTTATTTTTATTCTCAAGATATCATATCATCAACTTGAAATAATTCGTATACAATTTAAACCAAACTGATATATAGTCTTATATAAAATAGATCATTATGTTACAATGTAGTTTTTTAATGATGATGTATAAATAATTTCTACGATCTGGGTTGAAATGGTGCTTCACTTTAATATATTTGTATTTACTTTTAAAATATTATATTCAAATTTCAATATTATTATTAATTCAATAATATCAGAATGGGGTTTTGTGGAGATTAAAGCTAGATAACCATGGATAACCTGAAAGCACTGGACGGCCGTTTCGTCCTACTATGGAACTCCTCAGTATTACTGAATTATGAATGTGAACTACTGAGGAGTCCCATACTAGGGCGAAACGGCCGTCCGGTGTTTCCAAGTTTCTTATGGTGATCTAGTTTTAATCAACTCATAAATTCGATAACAATTAAAATAGTGTATAAAATTTTTAAGCATACTGATTTTCAGTATATCAAGCAGTATGTTATTGAATTATTATCTTATCTACTTAAGCAATCAAGACAATTGAACTCAATAAAGTTATGTCGAAATAAATGTAATATGTAGTTTGTATCGATTATAATCGATCAATGATTGACCTTCATATTTTATTGGTCACTGATTAAACCATAGTCACTGAAGGACCAATTTATCTTCTTTTAACATTTACATAATAATATGATGCGAATTAATTTAATAAATCATTTTTTATTGTTGAAATCATAAATCAAACAATCCCTTCATGTTAGATCAGTTCTCATCTGAATTTTTACCGGTTCTTATGGAGCAAAACACATAGGATACATCATGAGATACTCTTTACAAAATCATCTTTAAAGATTACTAGGCATTGATATACCAAAAATGGATGTTCAGGAGCAATTTATTTATTGAATATCTTATTATCTTTACTTAACACACTTTGGCAGAACGTTCTATTAAAATTATCAAAGAAAATATGAATGCAAATTGTGTACACAATAAAGAATCGATGATATAACTATTCAGACTTGAAATTTGTATGTGAAAATAGCAGGTTTAATCTACTATTCCATTGTAATCTTCTATATCTATTATTAATTCTTAATAATCATTTTTTTACTACCTTCTTAAAATACTTTTACACTAGCAGATAAATAATAAATACCATCAAATTTTTTTCATTTTACACTGCACTACATAATATGTTTTACGTGATACGTCTTGTTCACCGTTAGATGATTCTAAGCAAAGATGTATATTGGCTAGCAGTGGAATCCAGGATGCGCGTTTCGTCCTATTCAGAGCTCGTCAGATAGATGTACCTGCATCTCAGAGTTCATGTTCACTCTGGAACTCGAAGTCACTACTGTTCGCTTCAAGCGCTACCGCGTGATCCACTAAGCTACTGAGTCCAGATAGGCATTTGCTTGTGCAATGGGGTCCACTATGCCACGGCTAGCCACTATCCATCTTTGCTTAGAATACTTGTGTTTATTTATTTAGTTATTTATCTAAACACATAAACATTGGTACAAGAAGGCATCAAACAGATATGCACCACATAAATCATTCGATTTGTGTGAGAGCTTGGATACTGCTCGGGTGCTAAAACCGAAGCAGGAGGTTTTCTCAGGCGGCCACACTACGAGCCTTCAACCCAAAGGTCTAATCCACAAGGCAATGAAGCAACATAAGGAAATGCAGTCCCATGAAGTCAATGACAAGTGGACTGAGCCATGTTGGTAGGTGTAGACTACCTGATTGGGATCCGCGAGATGATAGCAACTGATGGTTAGAGACCTTGAATGACATGGCTCAAAATCGTTTGCAATGGCGCAGGTGCATCCATTCTTTGTGTTCTCCCAAATTCTAATCTTCTGGATTATTCATGTCCTTTATTTTCTTTCCAAATTTATTTCACTGTATTATACTCCTTGAATAACATCTTCAAACCCTAATGTTTCCGATTACTGCTTATACTCTTACTACCTCTACCACCACGGGATTTGAATCGATAACTGTGTCTCTGTGCTAATGTGGTATGGCAACTCGGATTGATGTTCGTACGTACGAAGTTCTACGTTGTTACTGAATGACTGACTGGATGCGCTAATAAATAAAACTTCTTTTAATGCAGATCCTTCACGTCCACGCAATTTGTTGGTTTTCATCAATCCTTTAAGCGGAGCAAAGAAGGCACAGCAAATATATACTCACCAAGTAGCACCATTATTATCTACTCTCTGCCGTACTAGGGCATTTGGGGGCAGAACATTTGTGAATTAAGGTAATATCGAGGCAATACGCACAGTATGCACATATGCCAACGACAGACTGATCAATTGCAGTCCTAAATAACAATGGGAAGATACAAGTAAAATAACAGCAAGTGAATTAATTTTATACTGTTTGCATTTCCTTTCGGAAATAAGCAGTTATACCAAGAATTTATTTTAATTAGCTAGACATTAAAATTCTACAGTTTACAACACTAATTTATTGTAGCCAGATAACAACTTAAACCCAAGAAACCAAGCGCATCTCTTTTGTCCAACTAACAGCAATAAATGATAGTCGTGAAAAATTATGAATCGATTAAATTTAGAAACATCGATAGTCAGGTTCTGACTAGGTTATCTCAAGGTTAGGTGATTAGCATAACAGTTACATTATGAAAAGTAATTCACCGCTAATCTTGTTTATCCTTAGTTTCCTCAGTAATGTCAGTATATTTGATTTACGAGAATTCATTCATCGTTTTCTTCAATAATTTACTACTGAATATTTTTTCATTACAATTCTACTGATCGATTAACGTTTCGAAAGGGCAACCATTCAAAATTAACGTCTTATGAAACTCCTGCTGCAATAGACTCATCTACAATCAACCGTTTATTTAGTTTAAAAGTCAACATAATGAATTTTGATGCCAGTACATTTAGCACCAGTGCCTTATTTGTAATATCTAGCATTATGAAACACCATGAGGACATTTATCACTCAAACAATATTCATTCATTATCAAAATTCTGGTGTAATTTTAAACGATAGAAAAGAAAATATTATTATTATTAACAGCTTTATTCAATATTATATTTTGGTACAATATAAAATTCTCAGCACGAGGTATTTCAAGAAGTTTCTTCTACAAAAACAAAAAAAAGAAAAAGGTGAAAGAAAGATCTGAATCTGTACAACTTTTCACCTAGAAACGTGTTTAAGAGTACAGGTTATTGACTAGGTTAACTCTAACAACCTGTTCTTCAATAAGTATATTTGCTAGGTAAGGTATTATAGAACTTTTATACCTTTGCTTCCGTGTATCGATTTTAATGTATTGACGTCTCGTTCCACCAGAAGATATACAACGAGGAAGATATGAATGGGGCGATGGTTAGTATCTGATAACACGTGTCAGGAGTTTGCAAGACTTTAGATGTCTATCCACAACCATAATAATGATGATCTCAAAAGATTCACCATACAACTTGCTAACTGCCTTCAGCACTCTCTGCAATACAATAAAGCCTTTTCTCAAAAAGTCGGGAAAGCACAATAGAGAACAGTAAGGAATAATAGGTAATATGTAGGAATCGACAAATTGTAAGAATAAATGTCGAGTAATCACAAAAATGGCGATTCCAAATAAAAATGAATGTTTCCGTATGCTTATTATTTATTCATTTCTTAAATATATACTTCATTTACTGTTGATATGTTTGAATAGTGAATACATGGAGAAATGTTTGCTAATATTGATTCGAAGTGAATGAGAAAAAAATTAACTATGATAACTAAAGATCAAACTCTAAGTTTCAATACTAGTAATTTTCCAAGGTGTACTTTGCTCTACTTTGCTTGTCTTTGAATATTCATCTAATCACTTGAAATAATTAAGATTTAAAATGTTGAAGTCTACAATAAAAGGTGAATATAAATGAACAAAAAATTAATTAAATTTACTTCATAATTTTTATACATACAATAGGTTTTACATTTGGTAACTGAACCGATTCCATCATGATTCATTCTGTCTTCATTTTATTGTTGGTTGTACAAACTGCGATTTTTTCAGTTGAATCAAACAAAATAGTAAGTGTTATATTTCACTTATATATATAAGCTCGACAATGCAATGAGAAGACGTAGTTTATCAGAATTATGTGATATATTTGCGCAATACATTTCGAACAATCTGATCACACATATACTTGTTAAGAACATTTATATATGAAAATTAAACTACGTCTTCTCATTGCATTATCGAAATTTATCAAAGGAACTAATTGTTTTAAATATATATAATCATTGTGTGTTATGTAATCGCAGCACTAATCTCATTTTCTTTATGTAATCAATTATTACAATAGTCAATATAAGATGTACACTTCACCAGATGAAATCAAGGTACTGAGAGTGGTTCTTTCTCTTGAATCATGACGATTTCATGCAGGCGTTATTTTATATAGTCAACTTATTCTTAAATAATGAGTCAAGATTCTACTGTTTTACATTTTATACAGCTACTATTTCTATCCAAACATATACCTATTTACTTATATTTCCTTAGCAAAATGTACAACTTAAAAATGACAGTAAATAATCGCTGATTGATCTGCTTAATAAATTCAAACAATAACTAGATAATTTGTTTAAGCTATCACAGAAAATGAGAAGGACTAATGTGACTTTACCACAATAGTATATCTGTCTGAATATGTTTCAAGGTAAATACTATAACAATGGAATAATAAGCATGAAAATAACAACAATAATATCAGCATTAAATGTCTAGGCGAAGAGATAAAATAAATAAGTTGAATTAGGAATTAAGGTTTTAACAAGTGAGAATAAATCAATCGTATACAATAAATTTTAGTACAATGCTTTTACTACCATTACAGATTTGTAAATATGTCACAGTTTCTGTATTATTATTTCATTTAGTTTTTATCCTTACAACGACTAATTAACTAGCACATTCTTTGATTCAAAGAAAGCATGAATAACTGAATAACCAAGTCTTTCTTTTCTTGATGGAGACAGTATATACATCTAAGGTAGGTTAGAACAAAAGATGAATGCTAGCTACACGAATTGATTAACATCAATTATTAAGCTTAACACTTAGTAGGAAAAGATAATATTTTAAAGATTTCACGCCACCAACATTACTTTTTACATCTACAATGCATCTTTTACCGCAAGATAATTCAGTATACAATTTATTTTCAATGATATATCTGATATAAACTATGCCTTCAAGTATCTGTTGGAAAAAAAACCCATTACACACGTGATTTTATTGTAGAACTTACTAAATATTCAAATAAATAAAACAACTATTTGCTGAAATGTAAGATTTATGTCTCATTGTGTTATTTCTTTACACAGAATTTAGTTGCTAAGAGAAATATTGATGACAATTCAACATTAGGTATGTCCTGTTTCTGGTGATTAAATTATATATATATGTATATATATAACATTTTCCTTATATCGAAGTTAATGTCCGAAAATCAACAATTTGAGAGTTATAAACCAGATAATTTTTAATAGGCGAAAGTAAAAGACTTTAACTTTGATTGACAATCTCAATGTTTTTAAATCTAATGAGCTCATTTTGACTTTCCATCATTTCCATTATGTCATTAACATTCCATTAGTAATTACTTAAAATACAAGTAGTTAATTGACAATTTTAAGAATAGCACACTAAATGAATATCATATCCATCATAGGTTCTGTAAAGTATAAAACTAAAAACAAATGTATCAAAAGTGTGAAAATATTAGTTTGCGTAATTGACCTATGAATGATTAATTGAAGATAACCATTCGAGATTGAAGATTCTGAAACAATTATTGCATTACCACTAAGAAAACAAATGGTGATCGCATTCTAAAGCACAATTCGAATCTGATTGCTATGTGTTATGTCAATATATTTTTTATATACGCATTCTCCACTTTTGTATATACAACATCATTTCCCAGGATATTTTAAGAAAATGTATGAACAATCAATGTAATAACAATATAAAATACCGGATAGAAAATCAGTTGTACAAATATTCAATCCAATTTGTATTGACAATTTTAATTTTAAAATACCATTCTCATTGTTGATTTTTTTATTATGACAATTACGGAAAAACTATATGTAAAGTACATTTGACATAGAAGTAATTTATCATATTAATGAACCATAACAACAAGGAAATAGGAAATATGATTTTCACAATTGTTTGATCATTGGGTGGTGATCAATGTCATGTGTGTCAAGTCCTTCTTAGTGCAGATTGAATGCTGTCGACCAAGTGCACGCAACGTCGAGTCACCTAGAGTAGTGGCCACATTGCAACTTGGTCGATAGCATTCGATCTGCACTAAGAAGAACTTGACACACATGACACTGATCAACATCCAGTAATCAACCATTTGTGAATTAAACTCAGTTCTACAAGAGGTCAGTCGCGACCCGTATAGCCCAGTGGTAACACTTCTGACTGTAAAGCTGGATGACAAGGGATGTAAATCGTCAGGGGCGTCAATTCCCTAAAGATTACAGGTACACCTTGCTGACGAGTGCCAAATAGCACGAAACCTGGGTCCAGGGTTTCCTGTTGACTATCTGCAACCATCATCCTATCTCAAAATATGATTTTCAAAGCGCTATACGGACAAAATGGATGGTTTAATTTCAAATTTTTTTACTATCAATCTGAACAATGTCGTCAGCGCCTTCTTTAAGTAAACAGCATTAATAAGCAACGATGGAAATATTCACCTATACTTCAAACCTCCTCCAATATAGATACAATTTTTAGTATCTCCCTAAATTCAAAAGTATTTTATTATTTTAAATTCATAACTATGTTTTTTATCATTCAACTGTACAGTTTAACTAAGACTGACAAACGAAAAGTCCGCACTCAACCCTCAATTAACAATTATACACTAATTTAGTCATTTCTACTTAGCTATAAACCATGAACAATAATTTCATTTTACCACACATATAACACTTCATTGACTTTTTTTAGCATAAATACATTACCATAATGTTTTCAAGAAAACATCTGACCCATAAATTACTTCCGGGTTTAGTAACCAATTTAAAAGATATGATGTAAACTACTTTATTCAGTGTCCTATAAATGCTCAATAAGCATATTGGTTAAACTATATTCAGGTACTAATTTGAATAATGTAACATAAGTGAACAAATGAAATCTAAATAGATACTGGGAACTAGTCTTTATAAAAATAAATTGACAGAAACTGATGAGGGAATTTTCGTCTTATCAAAAGGTTCTTTGAATTCGTTTCCAGTATACATGAAGTATATATGAAGTATTGGATCTTTAGATGCATGATCTAGGAAGAATGAATAAGTTACGAAAGAACCTAGAAATTATTTGAATGTAACTGCCCCCATGCATCAGAATTAATGAAATGACAATATCAATTGTTTTGCCAATATTATAACCGGAATCAGATTACTTCTATAATCTAAATTGGTCAAGAATATATTCTAATTTATCGTGTTATATTTAAGGATTAATATTACACAAAACTTAAACTTAAGCTATTTTCCCATCAAACAAGTTGTGGATACATTTTTAATTTTGATACTCAGTCATATGTATGTAGTGTCAGTTATTATGCCAAGCCCATATACCTAATTCGAGCTTTCGGACATCCCATTCTATTCATTTTACTTGGGCCATACATTGACCTTGTTATTTATTCGCTTATCAATCTAGACTGTTTTTATATGAGCGTATATGTGTGTGCCCTTCTTATTCCATTAATCACATGTCTGTAGCTTTATTTTGTCTGACTATAAATACTGAGTAACACTTGACAAAGATGGAGTTGGCTTCCCAGCCATCTTCCCTGTGCGTCATTTTGCTTGGCTATGTTTCATTCACTTCATATACGAAATATATGTATTCAAATGCCATTCTCGTTAATTGACTTATTTAATTCCGTTATGGACTAACGCGATCTAAGTCGACGATGATATACGAGAATAGGTGATAACAATCATTCGTACAATGTAAATGGAGTCAGATCAACGGGCTACTAAAGTGGTAAGCCATCTTCCATACGTGTCAAAATTGCTTTGTTATGGCTCTCGCTCGCTTAGCATGCGAACGGGCCACCTCATGTATACAAAATATAGATAAAAAGTAAGTGCTGAACATCTGTATTAAATTCACGATCAACTCTTTTGATAAATACTAAAAGTATAAATTTTAGATCATTTTTGAAGTTATCATCTTAGTGACCAAACAATCTCGTCTATTTGAATGATATTACTATATTTTTTAGCTGAATGTGATACATGCTTAGCAGGGATGAATTTGGTTCACTACATTCTTTCAGAAAATTATTGGGTAGAGATTTATATGATTGCAGCACAACAATTATGTCAGTCTATTCCATCAGAAAGTCTAAGAGACACTGTAAGTAACAAAAAAATTGAACATGAAACAATTATCCCTTTTTTATTATAAGACAAAGAGTATTTATCTGAAAGATAAATTGTTTGTCATGTATCATTCCTATTGATGTTTTATTAACATTTTATCCTTAAAATAATATAATGATTATAAGCAAATGTACATTCCCATTTTGACATTTGGTAAATAAAGAGGGAACGAATCGAGCGAAGAAATTTCCTTTGCAATTAGTTTTTCATCATGGTTCTATACTGATATATATTAACAACCATCTTAACATAGTCCAGATATTGTTCTCGTAATTTATCAGGGAGCTCTTCTACCACGTAAATTCTCTCGTTGACATTTTTTAACATCTTGGTAATATATGCATTTAGAGAATCGATCTGATTAAGCGCATAGCGTTTGAGAGTCCTTCCATTTTATTATATATATATATATATATATATATATATATATATATATATATATATATATATATATTTAGTGACTGATGAAAATCTAAATCTTATATGAATTACATAATTTGTAATAAATAAACAGTAAATAAGATTAGTAGTCAGATGGATCGAATGATAATGAATACTCATAAAACTTCCATTAAAATGTTAAAGTTGATTATAAGCAGTGATGGATAGTGGCTAGCAGTGGAATCCAAGACGTGTGTTTCGTCCTATTTGGGACTCGTCAGCTGGATGTACCTGTATCCCAGAGTTGATATTCACTCTGGGACTCGAACCTAGTATCGTTCACTTCAAACTCCATCACATTATCCACTTAGCTACTGGGTCCAGATATCCACTATAAAGTTTGAAATAACTTCGTATTGGATGTTTGAAACTCAGTATGTAAGTGAATAAATTGATGCAGTTTGAAGCGAACGATACTGGTTTCAAGTCCCAGGGTGAACATCAAATCTGAGATGTAAGTTTATTTATCTGACGAGTCTAAATAGGACGAAACGCACGTCCTGGATTTCATTGCTAGCCATCATCCATCTCTGTTTTTAATGCTTGTGACTAAAATCAATCTCGGGGCTATCCGTAGAGGATCTATATAGGCCAATAAGCGACTAATTAATTGCATTACTAAACATCAGTGGGAACATTTAAACAATCGATACAAAAATGATTTAAGTTGATTGGTAATTTTCAAATGATCATAAACTAATTTCATTCATCTGATCAGTTCTAATTTTATAATTTTTAGTAAAATAAACTGTTTATCAAAAAAAGTACTTTTCTGAAACTTAATTTGTATAATGTATATTCGACGGACTAATTTCTTACGTATCGAAAGTATCTTAGTAAGCATTGTAATTTGCTAATTAACAATAACCACAACAGTGAAAGTTCAGTAAAAACAGTCAGCTTCTAGAATCACTATATCCAAGTTGTTTCAGTCTGAAAGAATATATCACTCATTTATTTTTTATTTTTTAAATTCATCCAAGTGCCTGAAATATGTGAATAATTACCTTAATAATACTTTGAAAATACTGGCTACAGCAGTGAATCCTGATTACATTTGCAAGGTAATTATTTTTTAATGTCTTGCATATATTTTAGCCTTTTTAAATATATATCATTAGTCTCTCCATTTGCATCAAAAATTTTCCAGTAGTTCATGGTTTAGGATTTTGTGTGGTAAAACGATTCTGTATAACTGTATCGTGTATTATTCTCGTTTTCACAACTATGAACATTAATAATGAAGCCAGAAGACAAGTAATTTTCATCACTATGGTGGTTTGTGTAGATAATAGAATTTTCAGTGTATTTATATCGCAAACAGATCTTAGTTAGACAACACTTAAAAACCTGAAAGCACTCGACAGGCAATTCATTCTAATAAGAAACTACCCAGAAGTGCACATCAAATGATCTCGCACCTGGAAATCCAACTCTGAATCTTCGGACTTGCCGCAAACGATCAATCTCTAGAAAGCTGGACTAACATTAACTTCAATCCACTCACTATACTTCATAAACCCCACCAATTGTCTGAGGTTGATGAATGTCTTACACCAGACACCGCTGAACTCCAATGGTCACCGATGCTGACTAGAACTCCAGGAATTATATCGTGAGGCCCATCACTAGTGAGTAAACGAATGTTATCAACATAGTTTGAATGCACTTTACTGAGGAGTCCCAAGTTAAGACAAGACAAGTGTATAGTTCTTCCAGGGTACAATACTGATCTAACTAAGACTCATTTGAAATTTAAATACGATGGAAATAATTTTTAGCCAGTGAATCGTATGATTTTAGTATGGTCAGAAAATTCATGTTCGTTCAAAAATAAATTGAGAAATAATGGTAATCATTTTTCTGTAATTGATCACATTATCCGTCGTTAAGACGTATTCAACAGATGAGACGTTTTTTTATAAAACTGAATGGTGGAGAAGATTTGTAGCTCAGATGGATGATTTTGATGGAGTTTTGTTCTCTGAGCTAAAGCAAACCCATCAGCTGAAAGAACAAAACTCCGTATAACTGAATGAATTCATAATTTATAATTATCTTAAACAAATGGTATTATTTTCCAGTTATAAACATTAAAACTTAAATTAATCATTCTCTGCAGCCATATGGACTTTAATGTTGACCCTATTTACAGATTGATGATATTTTAACTTCAATTGTTCGTTTTAATCTAGTCGATCGTTAATTACTTGATGTGTTAGTATTCATATGTTGATGTTCTCAAGTAGACTAGATTTAATGTATTCAAATATTGTCGTCTTATTCACTAAACTACTAAGTAATGAGCTTAATATTATATGTGCTATTTTTACATATTCGAATTCTATGTTTATTCGGTATATTTTAAGTGTCTTCATGAATGTTTATATATTTAACACTTAAATTTTAAACATATGTACCACCGAAAATTGTTTTTTTTTTGACAGGCATTACAAGCTTGTACAAATAATACAAATTCTTTAACTAATCGAAACATCGGTAAGTAGAATTATATAAGATGAAGTCTTTTAATACGCTGACATATTCATTCATCTAATTATTTCTTAATGTTATCAAAATCTAAATTCATTATTTTGAATTTAAATAGTTCTACAGTTACCTAGAAAAATATAATTCAAATGATTTACCGATGAGAGCATAATTTATGGACAACCTTTGAGCGACACTAAAGTGACCTTAAAGAGGTCCATCTATTGACTAGGGCTAAATGAGGGTTTTAAACCTGTATAAATGATAAGGATTATGATTTACAGTTGATGGTTAGGGATAGGGATTAAATTTAAGGTTTTTATCACGAACTGACACCAGCGAAAATGCCAAGACGTGCTATTTAACCAAATAGATGGAAAAGTTCGCGCCAAAATCTAAGACCTGTTGTCGTAAACCTGATTGGTTCGTCCATAAATTATAGTCTCGCCGACTTATCTGATAGTCTACTGAGAAATATTCTTAGTGAAATCACTAGTCATTTCAATCGTTTTTACTATTTTTTTTGGAATACATTTGAACTGGAGTTAAGATGGAAACGTGTAAACAATTTTAATTGAATGATTAAAATATTTAAAATTATAATTTTCACAGGTCCTTGTTTATATTTTAACCTAATGTTTAACATGATGAGAATATTCTCCATTATTGACTTATCACAGAAGACACATTTACAGAAATCGTAATTATAGAGTAATTAAGATTAATATATTAATTCTAGTGAATGTTCAGCATGTCTGATTATCATTATTCACTGTGTATGTAGTGTCGGTTATTATGTTAAGCCCATATACCTTATTCTAGGTTTCAGACAGACCATTTCATTCATTCTACTTGAGTCACATTCTGACCTTGTTATTTATTCGCTTATCAATCTTGACTGTTTTTATAAGAGAGCGTAGGTGTGTGTACATTTCTAATAGCATTACCCATCGTATGTATGTACCTTACTTTTGTGTAACTACAAATATTGATTAACGCTTGGTTAGATGGGAGTTGGCTTACCCGCCATCTCCACTCTGCGTCGTTTCTCTTCTCTCTATTCCATTCGCTTCATATACAAAATATATGTATTCAAAAGTCCATTCTCGTTACTTGACTTATCTAAATCCGTCATTGACTAACGAGATTAAAGTCGATGATTATATACGAAAATAAGCGATGACAAATATTCATACGATCTATTTGGAGTCAGATCCATGGGCCACTAAAGTAGAGAGCGCGTCAACAAACATCGTCCGATCTAAATGACGACAAAATTACGGGTCCCACACGTAAAACAATTTAGGTAGGAAGATAAATTAAATTCCTCATTTGTTCACTTTGTACGTTAGAATATTGATAGTAGTGTAATGCCCTGATAGTTTATTTATTTATTTATTTTAACACATAGATATTGGTACAAGGAGGTACCAAGTACATATGCGCCACACAGATCTCATTTGATATGTGTAAGGGCTGTGATACTGCCCGGGTGCCCAAACCGAAGCAGGCAAGATAGTTTTATCAAATACTAATAATTCATGGTTGTTACAATAGAGAATAGTGATTTTTTAAACTACTATTATGCAGCTAATACATATATAGTAGCAAAATTGATACTGATTTTTTTTTCCTAACTTACTGACTTCTTAGACAGTTTAATATAATTATAGTTTGATTAAAAAACTGTTGAAATATGCTCGATGGATGAAGAATCGGTCACTTTAAATACTAAAACTAACGAACTTAACAATATCGTGTTATGTTCACGATGATAATGAACACAGAAATAGTTTTATTTAAACATCTAACGTGGTTCTTTTTTTAATGGCCGTTATGATGGTTCGTTAAAGTCATTTAATTACATGAATAAGATTTCGAGGAATAACAAACGAATACATGATTCATTTTGAAATATAAATCCATTTAGATTCAATGAATAGCTAATAACAAATAATTTATATAATTAATTGCGTGATTTTGTTGATAAAAGCAATTGTATTACTTACGTTTGTTACCCCTCATGGAGAAGCATAGGCTGCTTACCAGCACTCTCCATTCAAAAAATTGTATGGCTGATATAATTTCAAGTTTTATTTTAATCTTCATTACTCATATTGGTTTATCTAATTAGTACAAAATTATAGTATCTTTACATATTTCGTAAATAAAGTTTGATCCTAAATAATGGATAATCTTTCCCACTTACAGAATATGTAGGTATCATTACCAAGGTTTGATTTGACAATTTCGAATAAATTGAGCATTGGGTAGATTATTATAAATAAATAATATATTTGTAGTATCCCAATGAGTAGAAAAACTAGATTTTCTGACGTTTCGTGACTTAGTGTAAGCCACTTCTTCAGAGATTAAATAACCAAATTAAAATTAATCCAAGTTTAAATAGTACGACGAAACAACAAGAATATTATGTGGTCAATCAAAAAACGGGTCTGAATAAACCAATGTCTTGTTATTTCGGTGAAGGTGATTTATGAGCGACTTGTATGTAAATTTGTGTGTATGTATGTGTGCACTCATAAGAATGAAAATTCTGTGACCTTTATGGTGAGAAAGGATAGTGTAAAAACAAATATGGTGATATGATGAGTATTCACGAATAAAACAATAAGAATATAAGAGCATCCAGGAGCTTAAACCAGAACTATGCGTACAAAAGAAGTACGCTTTATCGTTATCGTTACCTTGGCCTTAAGTATTTTGATTATCCAATTATTATTATTATTATTATTATTATTATTATTATTATTATTATTATTATTGCATTCCCCCCTTTACTTATGTCTTATATTCTCATTGTTTTATTCGAGAAAGGATAGTGTTTAGTTTGTAAATTAATGGTGTGAATTGTAAATAATATCAGACTAGGTGGCTTGGATAGATAGTCCAAGTAGGATGTATGGTAAGGCCTTCTTCTCTCAATAGAAACTTGGATCAATTCTAATTTGGTTCTTTATTCTCTGAAAAAGTGGCTTACACTAAGTCACGAAACGTCAGAAAATCTAATTTTTTTACTCATTGGGATATTATAAATATATTAATTTATTACTTATAGAATAGTATTGATTTTTAAAAAATGAAAATTTGTTTTCATTTATGGACCTCTTAATAAATGCTGTTTAATTAATGTAAATCAAATAGGTAGTCAAAGTAGTAAATTATCTAAGCAATTTAAATGAATAAATGGAATACAATAGTAACTGGCTTCAAGAGATGTATCCTGGAGTTCTAGTGAGAAGCAGTGACCAGCGGAGTTCAACCGGGTCAGTTGTGAGGTAGTAACTCACTGAGGACAATGGTGGATGTGTCGCTCAATTTCGTGGATTAGTTGAAGTTAGACATTAACACCGTTGGATGCAGGCTCAGTGGTCTGGTTGGTTAAGCGCCTGACGCGAGATTGATAGGTCCTGGGTTCGAATCCCGCGGGGTGGGGTCGTGGATGCACACTGCTGAGGAGTCCCACGATAGAACGAAACAGCCGTCCAGTGCTTCCAGGTTTTCCCTAGTGGTCTAGCTTCAATTGACTCATGATCTCAACTGTTGGAATACAAATGATCAAATATTTTTGTTTCATTGGACAGAATAATTTTTAAAAGATCGGTTTCACTAATCTATCAGTATGATGACATCTTAAATATCTCGAATATAACGTCATTGAGAGTTCAACAAATCTACATAAGGATACTATAAGAAATCATTAAAATATATTTTTTTTATCAAAAATCGTCAAAAACAAGAATCTGAATTATGTACAAGTAAATAAAATGAATCTCGAGTGACGGCAATGAACTTCAGTTTTTCAAGTTTTATACCAAATAACATTAAAAATTTACTGTCTAGTTAATAAAGATTGTTCAATTACCTTAATCTTACTACTACATCACTAAATAAATATTTGAAAATCTAAGTTGAAGAGAAATAAGGAAATGGACATAAGAATAATGTTTATCCGTTATGTTTGTGAATCCCTAATTTATCTTTCAAATATCAGTTTATCCTTTTACTATTCCTGTCAACACTATATTGTTCATATGGAAATGAATGGTATAATGCATTTTACTATACACTTTGAAGTTGATTTGTCTAGCTTCATATTTTACATTACATTACATGTTTTTTGTTTAAATACTATTTCAAGTGCCCCAAAATATTGAAAATAAATAGTTTGTATTCTATTTTCAGGAGATAGTATATTGTGTGAAGAATGTAAATTTGTTTATAGTAGAATACAAAGTATTTTTACTGATCACACAGAAACTAAACAAATGAAATCTTCACTGAAAGTGATATGTTTACTTTATGCTTCAGACGAATCAAAAGTAAGTTTATGTTTTAACTAACTGATTTATAAAAGTTTCCATTCAGACATTCCGTATAAAAATGGATAAAACAATTATTTCCTTCCAGTTAGCTTTTTTACACTAATATATATACAGACGAAAATGAAGTGTAGTCCAAAGTAGTGTTTTCCGCAATCACGATTATCAATCAGCGGTCAAACGCTATGACATATTCTCACTTATATGAATGCATGTGGACAACTGTGGACGCACATTTGACTGGGAAAATGTTTAGATCTTGGATAGAGAGAACACTAGAAAATTTTACAAGCTTGACACATCAAAATCGATCCCATCTATCAATCAATCAGAAAAATTATGAACAAATATAAGACAAAGAATCAAATCGAAGGGAGATATAGTCAAAAAAGGAAGTAGACAGAGACAAGCTAAAAGTCAACAATAACCAACCTAAATAGGGGTCAACAGGACAAGCTGTGAGTCATATGTGAAGAAATCTGAACACTTCCCTTCTATCTGAAGTTTGTGTTGATGATGTCGTTCGTAAGAACAAAGAAAGCTCCATGACCGAATCATCTAGCTCAGAGAAGGAAATTCCACCAAAGTCATCCACCTGAGCTACAAATCTTTCCCACTATCTAGTTTGTGTTCAGAAAAAATTCGTGGCACCCCTGTACCTGGCTAGATATGACGGAATGAACGATTATCTTAAGTTTTTACATCCTGTGTTTGTTTATCTGTTATTTTTCACCTTTTTCCGTATATATTCTCCAATCTCTAATCATTTACACACTTATTACGTAATTTTAGTGATGTTTTGTGATTACTGATCTAAAGTCTATTTATCCATATTTGCCCTACTTTTTATGTTGAACTACCGATTACAACTATTTCATTATTCTGATCACAGCTAGTACACCTGTCTACTTATTATCAAGTTGTATTTTTACACATTATATGCAGTTATACAATCTATTTCATTATGATCATTTACCCATAAATTCCCTTGATTATTTTAAAATTATTAACAGAACGAGGGTTTATGGAGATTGTAGTAATTTTAATAATTAAATTTATAAGGAGTCCCATACTTAGACAAAACGGCCGTCCAGTATTTTCATGTTTTTAGTAATGGCCTAGCTTACAGTGACTCATGAATTCAAATATTTTAAAATTTTTATATAAAAATTCATTTGTTCTAGAGTAAAGCCTCATAATGATCCAACTGTAAATAATGTTGTTTTCCTATATATGTGTTGTCCCAATTTTTAATATAGGAATCTTTAATATATATTTTTTCTTAGGGTTAAATGTAACCTAATCATTTTTAAACATTTTTTAAATATTCAATGTAATTTTAGTGTAATAAAGTTCTTCAAGAATATATAGATTATGCGATTACGTATTTTCAACAGCATAGAGCAGATCAATCATGTTATGTAAGTAATCCTGTTTTAAACCAATATCATCATCGAGTTTATTGACAAACTATATCTGATGTTTCTAATGAGAATAATGTTAGATTTAATTTTTATTTGTGTATTGAAATAATAGAGGTACAATTACAGAAGGAGAGTTCAGTGTACATTTCTTGTATACAGTTAAAAGTAATTTATTCAATGAATTATAAGTACGTAAATTTGACTTAATAATAAGATTTCAAAGATTCATTGTAACGTATACGTAAATGAGTATCTTAGAGAAATCGCACTTCTCAATATAATTAATAACAATTCTTATGAATCAAGGACAAATATAAGATAATGATAACGTGGTATTCATGGTTTAATGAAATACTTATTTATATTGATAAATTTTGCATTTAATAATAAATCTGACTTTCATATTTTTCATCAAAAGGCTGATCGGTCACAGTTCTTAATATCAATGTCAGGAAAATTCGAATTCTTACATATAAATTCATAATGGTCAAACATTTTAGTGGCTAACTGAATTATGTAGTTTGGTGGATAGCTCATCGGTATTTGAATTAACAGTTATTGGGTTCGAATCACGAATAAAACGAAACACACATTCTACTGCTAACCCAAAACCAACTATATTAAAACTGTGTAATTATGGGTAATATCATGATGGTATACTTAAAATTCACGTAGTTCAGAAAAAATGATATATATATATATATATATATATATATATATATAAGTTCCTAATATCAACAATTGTAAGACTCAAACCCTCATATATTTTACTGAACGTTGAGTAAAACTGAAATGTTCTACTTAACTGCATAGTTAGAAATTTTTCATATGAAATAAACTGAACGTAATTTAGTGATGATTTGGATGAATTCCATAAGTAAACCCATCTCAAACCCAAAATGTAACCGGTGTAGTGTTATGTACATACATGCACTAGAATTCGTCAGTTATTTCAGAAAAACGTTTTTCCATGTGCTCGAAAACCTTCATACACAACTATCATCCTCAAAAAAAAGCGAGTAGAAACAATTATTAGCAAATAGTATAAACTTTTATACAATTAAAAGCAGACTATGTTGTAAAAAGTTTATCATTTCAGTTATCAATATGATTTGCAGAAGAGTTGATTAGTTGGTTAATTTATATTGACTTCTAGTAATTTAATTTACATTGAATAGAACATAAAACATTTGAAAAATAATAGTAAACTTCACCAGATGTTTCATAGAAAATTTCACTTATCCTATCAGTAATATATTAGGGATTCATTGGGCAACAGTATACGAATAAATACACGTAATTATTAAGCCCATAAATAATTCCTGTTTATTTCATACAAACACATATTATTATCAGAACGGATTTGTGGAGATTTTAGAAATTTCACAGAATCAAATCATGAGTCGATTGAAGCTAGGCCATCATGGAGAACCTGAAAGCACTGGACGTCCGTTTCATCCCAGTATGGGACTCCTCAGCAGTGCGCATCCACGATTCCGCACCCAGCGGGACTCGAACCCAGGACCTACTCGCTTCGCGCCCGAGCACCCAACCATTAGACCACTGAGCCGGCATGCAATGGTGTTGATGTCTAACTTCAACCAATCCACGAAGTTGCGCCACCGTACACCATTGTCTTCAGTGAGTTACTGTCTCACAACAGACCTGGTTGTGGTGTGTGCTACTGATGTCAATAGATATAAGTAGTAAGTATCATCAATCAGAAGTGGAATGTGTGGTGGCAGAAGGTTAAAAAGATCGAAGAAAAGAGAAAGAGAACAGAGAATGATTAGTGTGGCAACGAAGGAACAATAAAGTCTGAGACAATTGACTGATATTTTAAAAATGAAGTATTTACTGTAAAGTGCTCAGATTTTACTAAGAGATTCTGTAATTTTATGTTCAGGTACATTGAATTGTCTCTACTTGTGTTCTCATTCCCTACAGCATAAGAATCTTCAGTAGTGTATACACATTACTTCTCCAGGGATCATATTCTGATTTGTCGATTTGTCATTAGTTAAATTTTATCTTTTATTTCAGTCAGGGAAATTTATGTGTTAAATCAATAAAATTTTATTTCAGGCACTTTGCTCTTTCCTAAAACTTTACAAACTCATCTTCCATTAAGTGGATGTTACATGTAAGTTTGTTTTTTTCCTCTTAAAAAAATAACGTAATAAAGCATAATAATATCAAAATAAGTTCAAAATAATGAAATAAACAAGTAGGTCCCTTTAAGTACAGTACACTTTTATCTTAGAATGGAATGAAGTTTCACACATATTGTTTGGTATATCAGTGCTATACGCAGAACATTTAATGTCTATAAGTTAATGTTTTTAAACGATCGTATTTTGTTTCTTCAAAGACAAATGTTCTACAAGATAAAAATACATTAAATGAAGCTGCAATTATAACAATTAAAGCCAAAGTAGTTATTTGTTTTAAAATAATTCCAGTTGCCTAGAATAATAAAACGTATTATCGGTGAGACTATAATTTATGGATGATCTTTGAGTGACGTTAGAATGACCTTTTGAGTGTCCATTTAATAACTAAAACCAAGTGTGTACTATAAACCTGTGTGAGGAATTCGAATTATGGTTACGGTTAGAAATTAGATTTAGAGTTTTCATCACGAACTGACATCAGCTACAATGCCAAGACTCTATTTAGACAAATGGATGAGTGAATTTCGCGCCAAAATCCGAGACCTGATATCTTACATTTGATTAGTTCGTTCATAAATTATAATCTCGTCGTATTATCTTCCAATTCTCATTATGATATATTGCCATTACTTACATTCAACCATTAAGTCAATAAAGATTCCATCCTTCCTCTCTTTATTACACATACACGTAATTATTACAGAGAAGTAATATAATTAACCTTCTTATTTTTTTGATGAGTGTAAGCTTTCAATAAAACTAAAATCTTGTCTTAGTTTAGGATTATAACTATCATAGCTTGAATATGAGTCGATTTGGTTATCATTGTAAAATTTATCTCCTGTCAATATGCTAATACGAATAAGAAAACTTACACCATATCTCATTCGTTCTCACTTCTCTAATAACTGATCAATTACATAAGCAAATATTATTTATTTAATATTCAACTATCATATAGAACAATATGAATTTTATTTAGTAAACAGATAACAATAAACTTTTTTTAATATCCTATTGTATTTTAATTTCAGATGATTTAAAATTACAGAATTGATCATTTTGTTTTTCTTCTTCTTGTAACTAGGTTTCCTAGTAAAAAAAATTGTGTGTTATTTTTTTCTCTTTCTACTTTTGATGTACTTTTATGGTGTTACCGCATATGAGTCTATAAACGTTTACCTTATAAATCACAATCTTTAATTTGAAACATTTAGATAAACTAAACTTAAGTATCATACAATAATCATTTTCATATTGTTATTGTTTTTCTGAATTAAAAATTTTAAAAAATAAAAAAATACTGTTTTTATAAAGTTAAGCAATTTATATTGGCGGAGTTTTGTTCTCTGAGCTGGATGATTTGATTGTGGGGCTTTCATCGTTCTTCTGAACGACATCATCAGCACAAACAGTTTGTGCTGAGCTACAAATCTTCACCATCTCATAAACAATTTATATTTAAAACAAAAAATGATAAAATATTATAATAGACTGTCAGTTAACTATGACAGTATCATTTATTCTAATGGTATACTTGGACTCTTTTCTATGTTGTTCAACTAGTCGAAACTGTGAGTGAGGTATTGTTGTCATGACAACTAAACTATGAATAACCTAAAAAAAAGACACTACTTTCTTGAAGTAGAAATGTAAAACATTAAAAAAACTGAAAATAATTACAACGCAGTTGTTGAATATTACAATCTAATTAGAAATAATTATAGAAGGGTGAAAATGTAACAACGACTTTTATAACTGATAATTAATATTAGGTAGCTTGTGACTCAAGGCTATATCTAGGCAATCCGCACAGGATGCACATATGCCAACATGAGACTGATCAATCGCAGTCCTAAATAAAAATGGGAAGATATAAGTAAAACAACATCAAGTGAGTTTAAACTTCACCCCATTGCACAAGCTGGTGGCTATCAGGACTCAGTAGCTAAGTGGGGAACGCAATGGCGTTTGAAGTGAACAGTGCCGGGGTGAACATCAATTCTGGGATGTAGGTACATCCAGCTGACGAGTCCCAAGTAGGACGAGATGCGCGTCCTGGATTCCACTGCTAGCCACTATCCATCTGTTCTTATAATACTAGGAAGAAAAAACACTGTTATTCAAATAAAATTTATTTAATAGTTGAATGCATGAGTCAATTAAAGCTAGACTACCATGGAAAACCTGGAAGCACCGGACAACCGATTCGTCCTAGTATGAGACTTCGTGATGGATTCGAACCCTGGACTCGTCGGTCTCGCGCGCGAACGCTGAACCTCAAGACCAATGAGCCGGTATCCAACGGTGTTAATGTCCAACTTCAACTAATCCACGAAAGAAGCCGTAACTAGTGGAGTGCGACCAGGTCACTTGTGCGATAGTACCTCACTGAAGACAATGGTGGACAGTGAAACTGATTAAGACACGAGGTAATTCCAGATTTAACCAATATTAGCCTTATGTACTTATTTACATACTTATGCCTGTCACCCCTCATAGAGGAGCATAAGCCTCTGGCCATCATTCTCCATGGGAGAAAAAAGTATATACTGGGCAGTGATCCTACATAATATAATATACTTTAATTTTGGTGAGCTATTCTAACAATGCATCTTAATAATATATATTCTAAATAACATTCGAGTAACTGTTGTTCCTTAAACATTATAAGTTATCTGACTATATCACTGCTATTCAGGTCCTTGATAATTTAATAAGAAACACCTGTTTCACACATTCATTTACTGAAGATAGTTTTCAAGACCAAAATTACTGTGTATTTCAATTGATGTGAGATTCAGATGTAAAACATGTTTATAATTCCTGAGTTTTCTGTTCAAGTTTATGGTGAAAAATACCTTAACAAGTGAGCATAACGTCCTGCAGATATTTTTAAGACTACGTTATTGGAACGAATATCAAGTTCAACACCTTTATGGCAGTTTACCAACCGAGGAAATATAAATAATAACCTTTAAAAATACTTTTAGCTGTTAATTTAACGAAAATGTTTCAATTGAGTTGTTTGATGAGCTTTTAATTATCAATAGAAAGTTTTTTTAGTCGAAGTAGTTTCACATCAAAGGATGTATATTCCGTTAGTGATTTTTATTACAAACTACCCACCGGAAACCCAGCTTTTCAAACGCCACTTTATCTTACTAGTCCAGTCTTGAGTGATTTATACATTTCACATTATAAAACGTCAAACATTAAGCCTTCATATCCAGCACAAAGTATAACCATTCGGAACGCTAAGTTGGAATTAGTAATTCTAATTCTCTTTACCTTGTGGAATCCAGCGATCCTTATCCATTATATTTCTTTGAATAGGGTTAAGTACCCACTGCAAAGTCAGCAAATCAATCTATAGTTTGACTAATATGAAGCGTTCGGGCCGATGGTTTCGTAAAGGATATTCCAGAATTTTAAGCTAATAAAGTAACATTATATTCAAGTTATGTTGTGGTATGTCCAAAAAACTGTCTTTCCAGTTATAATATAATACATTTTATTACATTTTCGGTGTGTACTTAAAATTTGACCATTATGATACTGGAATCCTTTTTTCATGAGTCAAACTTAGAAACCTTATTCACATTCCTTCTAAAAACTCAGTCAAACACAAATGACACATTTTTTATTCTTTTTTAATCACAGTTCAACCAAAGGTGTTTGTTCTCCGAATTGTTGTAAACTAAATGCGAAATTTACATGTTAAACAAAAAACTAACTTTAAAAAAAGCTGTTTAAAACTAATCTTTATACAATGTAGAATTGGAAGTTTTCATGTATTTTCTGACTGTTTTCTTTCTGCATCATGTCATGATGTTCAGCCCTATGTACAATAGCAAAGTGAGACGAATATCATTCATTAAAGACCTTCGAAAAAATACTTCTGAAGAATGGGACATCAGAATTGTTACTAAAGAAACGAACTTATTTTTGTCAAGAGATCCGCAAAATATTTTATTTATATGTGTAAATGTGTATTTTTTCATAGAAAATACATCATCCATTTAGTTTATATTCTCGATTCGGTTTATTAACTGATCAGTCAGTTTCCACCAACACTGTTATCTGGTTAATTTCACCACTTAATTGAGCCCTTACAATAAATATACACATTAATAACTTTTTCATATCCTCACTGTCTCGGTCTAGGTTAAGGCCTTGATACGATAGGCCAACTGGTTCAATCTTGAGGCAACGAAATGTATGAGTTTGAATAGAAACTAACGGTTTTGGATGGAGAGATGAAAACTATCCTATCACCCGACTGGCTAGCAAGCGAAAGAGTGAAGATGTGTCATCCGGAACACTACTCGATTTGTTCTCGATTCAGATTAATATAAAAAGATTCATGAATAAATAGATGGCTTATACGATCACAACTCCGCCTATAGCTCTTCTAGAGTTACTGCCGGTCCTAAGCCTGGCCAAAGGAGGACGGCTAAACACGGAGTCGGCAACCCCATCTGTAGAATAAAATCTTGCTGAAAATACGCCGACCAGATTAAACAAATTAAACCATTTAAACTCTGCTTTCCCAGTTGAAGAAAGAATTATGACGCCTCAGGATGAAAGTCGAGATTCTTTTGAAGTCAGGAAGCCGATGTTCCTTCTGACAACCAGAGCAACAATTTTATAGGTACACGGAATGCTTGGATAATGTGATAGACCGAGAGGACAAGCCAAATACCAACGGAAATTAGGAGATACAACCTGGTGATTCCCGGAATTAGCGAAATCCATTAGACCAAAGCTGGACAACAAAATTTGCGTATGAGAGAGACGCTGCTGTACTCCGGTCAAGAAAGGATGAACAAGAAAACAGCGATGAACAACAGTCGAACAAGAACAAAGAAAGTCAAGGCACGAGCTGAATACACTGAAGCAAACAAGCAAATGAAGAGGAGTATTATAGCTTGCAAGCAGAAATACATGGAAGAACTAGCAGCGATGGCAGAAAAAGCCGCTAGAGAAGGAAATATGAAACAGCTTTACGATACAACGAAAAAACTAGCAGGGAAATATAGTAAAACAGGTAAACAGGTCAAAGGACATACTAGGCAAAGCAATCATTGAGATTCAAGAACAGAGGAACAGACGAGTAGAATACTTCGAGGAAATCTTGAATAGACCAGCTCCATTGAATCTACTGGCTATCAAATCAGCACACACAGACCTTCCTATAGATGACACTCCACAAACATCGGAAGAAATCAGAATGGCCATCAGACAAATAAAGAGCGGAAAAGCAGCAGGACCTGACAATATACCAGTTGAAGCACTGAAGTGACTGCAAACATGCTTCACGTTCTATTCAGGAAGATTTGAGAGGAAGAACAAGTGCTACAGACAGACTGTAAAAAAAGACACATCATCAAGATAACAAAGAAAGGAGATCTCATCAAACGTGAGAACTACAGAAGCATCACATTACTACCAGTACCAGGAAACGTTTTCAATACACCGTTGTTGAACCAGATAAAAGACTCAATAGATGCCCAACTTCGAGATCAACAGGCTGGATTCCGTAATGATCAGTCGTGCACAGACCAAATCGTGACACTACGGATCACCGTCACTATACATCGACTTTACTGACTATGAAAAGGTGTTTGACAGTGTGGGTTGGAGAACCTTATGAAAACTTCTACGACACTATGGTGTACTTGAGCAAATCTTCAACATCATCCGGAATTAATACGGTGGGCTACACTGCAAAATCTTGCATAGAGGACGGCTGACAAATGCATTCAAAGTGAAGACCGGTAGGAGACCAGACTGCTTACTCTCCCCCTTCCTTTTTCTTCTGGTGGCCGACCGGACTACGAAGACCTCGACATCTGAGAGAAAACAGGGAACTAAATGGACAGCTCGGAGTCAATCAGAGGATTTGGACTTCGCAGATGACCTAGCCCTTCTATCCCATACACACGAACAAATGCAAGTGAATACAGTTAGTGTAGCAGCATCCTTCGCATCAGTAGGCCTCAACGTATACGAAAGAGGAAGTATGGCCCTCAAATACAACACGTAAAGAAGCTCTGGAAAACGTGGAATCTCTAACATACCTGGTCAGCATCATCGATGAAAGCCTGAGTAATTATTGTTTATTTCAGAATTATTTGCAAACAGATTACGATTTTAAATGCTCACGACTAGGGAACTATTCCAGTTGGTTTTTTATCTCTTTATGACTTACAAGCGTTGCCTCTTAATGTTAACACTTTAAAAACTGTAATGAATACTCATACTTCTATTTAAATATTCATAGTTAGAATCCAATGTCACATTAAACAGTTTTCCTTTATACAGCTCAATAGCCTATTCTTTCTATCAAGAGACTTCCAGTGCTCCCAAAGTCAGAATATATTATTCTTTGACTTATGTATTTACCAAACAAAATTACAGTTTGCTTCCAACACAGTATTCCAATTTTTGTTGCACTATTCAACCAAAAACTGTTTTCATATACAATGCATTTCCGATAATCACATCACAACGTTTAGTGTTAGAGTAAAACAAGAACCATGTCTCTTTTGAAAATAAAATCCCTACATGTAAGTCAAATCACAATAATATATAGGCGGATTTATTGACCTAGTCGTAAACCTCACGAGGACTAACAATTAACTAGAATCTTAATGATTGAGTAACGTATTCAAACCCATGGCCTTAAATCGACACAGTGAATACAAACTGGTGAACGTTCTATCAACACTAACTTATAGTTATTTATAAGCTTAGATTGAAAACTTTATAAACAATAATCCATTACTAGACTCTTAAAAAGATCCCTATTTATTCAAGTTATTTAGAGTTTAATATGCAATTCGCTTTTGTTCAATGTCTTCCTCAATAATCTAACGTTCATATTGTCAATTATTAACGTTTTTTCACTTGTGATCGAAATGTATGAAGTCGAAAATCTAATTCCAAGAATATATTTGAATTTGGAATGAATTTTTCTCTTAAAAAGTTATTTTCTTAGTTGGAGATTAATTCATATTGAATGATAAACATTCTATCTATACTGACATATTTGATCATCAAAGATTTTTATATTACTCTAGTGTTTGAAATTTCGAACATTCATTTATCAGCTTGAAGTTAAAAACTGGATAATCACAAGGAAAGATAGTTTATTCTAGTCAAAGCAGTTTGTTAACAAACAAAAGGTCACAATCGTCGATAATTATAATAACTAATACATCTAGATAGTATTAAAATGATGACTCAAAACATAAAGACCAAATATATCATAGCATAATTTATGTTGTGTACATTCTAAAATTTAATAACACTTAAAGAGTATTAGGTAGAGCAAAAATGTTCAGATTTTGTTATCTGTAAAGAAAAAAAACATTAGAAACGAAAAAAATCTTAGTTCTTTTGGGATAGTGAAAACTATTACATTATCCTAAACTCTTTAAATAGGTTGACATGATGATTACCTTAGCCAAATATGAGTATTCTCTGAGAAAACAGAAACTGATGAGGTAGTGATAATGAAATTTAAACATAATCTAGAGCCGGAGATCTTATGGCCTCACCTAAAACAGTATATATAAATACTTTTAGCTTTTCCTTCAAGGAAAAACGTTGAACTTTGATATTCCATTAAAGTATCAATAACAGAGTTGATTGCATTTAACAGAAATACTAGTTATTTGCACTGAGTTTAGTAGAAATGAAATATTCTACTAACGACAATCAGTAAAACGAGACATTTTGTTCAGTATATTCTATCTTATTTAAAAACTAATCATTAATGAAAACAAAATTAAAGTTTATTATTTCTTTGGTTTCTGGAATATAAATATCTATCATTTTCGATAGTACTATACAAAATATGTCGATGTCCATTATAAGTCTTGTGCTCACTGTGATAGGTTACTTAAGTGTGAAACTTTCATTATCTTTCTAGACAGTACTCTCAACAAACCCTACAAATGAAATAAACTATTGGAATTCCTGATGATTATATTACCCAAATCGATGAATAGACAACCCATCTCAGAAAGCACAATAAATCATTAAAATCCTTCCGTTAAACTACAAACTTGATGTCTTATCATTGAAACTGACCACTATAATCGGTTGGAAGACTGTTTGAGGTGGCAGTTTCGGTGAACCTTTTTTTTTCAAAGTATCGTAATTCAATAAACTTTCCATCATTTCAACGCTTATCACTGAGTCACTTAATTAATTGTAAAAAGATCCTTTACAAGGATTCGTATTTCACCTCATAGTAAATATAAACACCAGCTTAATTATATAGTGAAAAATAAATTGTTCAGTGACATTTTAATATCTAATTGATTTGTTTTATGTAACAACCAGTCCTTGGTTTTTTGTGAATAGTTTTCAGTTTACTAAGTTAGATCACGATGAAACAATCATTAACGTTGATAATAAAAAACGTAAATCTTTTCAGTAAAATAAATATTCAGCACCATGAGTATAGATTTCTAACTTCACTAATCATAATGTCTAGTTATTTAATAAACTCAAACACATTATTTTGATGAATACAAACGAAAGGGCACCAACATTTTTAACATTATAGCTGATTGGTTCTCGATTCCTGAAAAGCCCAAAGAAAACAAGACGGAAATAACTACGGTCAATAAAAAGCCAGTATATATAAATCTTAACTTTAAAGGTGATAACGTCGCACAAATAATCAACAGAAGACTGAACACTGCGCTAGCCAGAACTTATCCGGCTGCTAAACTTTTAATTTTCTATAAAACAACATGTTCAATAACCCAATCAAAGGTCGACAAGCACCCCTTTCATGTTACCGCCAACTGTATTTATAAATTTACGTGTACCTGCTAAAGCAGATACATCGGCCGAACTGAAAGGAGAGCATATCTTAGATTTTTTGAACATGTTCCAAAAAGTCTTAGAACAAGAGAAAGAAAGACTCTGAATAGTTCAATCACCAAACATCTCCTTGATACAGGACATCAGGTAGATACCTTACAATCCTTTAGGGTGATTAGTAAGCAGCCAAACTCCAGTCTTCTGAAGTTTGCTGAAGCCGTTGCCACCAGGCGTCAAAAACCTGACCTATGTGTTCAAAAGGAGACGGTTGTTAATCTTTCCTTGCCTTGGTGACAAATATTTTTTTCTCTGCACCTTAAATTTTTTTCTTTTTCTTTTGTATTTATTACATCGTTGATTTTATTTTTTCAACTATCAAATTAATAATCTTTCAACTGAACTCTACTCACTGTATTCCTATCAACGTTTATTCATTATGTAATCGATTGTTTCTAACCCCCTTTTGAACTGTTGTCACAATTAGTGATGTAGAATATTCTTTCACATTAGGTACATATTTACAATATTCAGTAAGCAATTTAAACCCATTATGTAATTATGATTTTTAAATATCACAGGTTGTAAGCAGCTGACGAGAACCTACGAAATAAAATGAATTCACACTATTCTGCTAGAATCTTTGTTCTTGCTCTTTTCAAAATGATAAAGGGAACTATGTGTATGAAACTGTTCTGTAGGATTTCATGTTTTATGTTGCATACACGGAAATTATTACAGTTTACAAACAAATTACTTTTATAAATGTATTATGAAACGTTACAGTCCTGTTGACTGACAATCATCAGTAAAATCGAATTGCCCTTTAATACTGAAAATCTTGAAATTATTCAATAATACAATCACAGGCGCATACACTGAATTACTTTGGCCAAAACTATCCTCGATATATACGATAATGGAATATCGAATGTTCATTAATATCTTGTGCAAAAACTATCGATTTATTAAAAAAAATTAATATAAACGCTTACTTTTTTGGATAGTAAACATCTTAATCTCAGTAGAATTGCATATATTGAAGTCCTACAAATGTAAATTGTAAATTACATGAATTATTCATTATCTGTGATAAAACGTTTTCATTTTATTAGATAATATATTTTTTCCAACTAATCAATCTATAATAGTGCCATGATCAAGGGTTTGGAAATAAATTATTGGATGTTACCGAGATAACAGTATAACCTGATAATTTACCTAGATTTTCATCGATGAATTCTTATAATCATTAGTTCTGTTGTATCTAAAGTGAACGATAACTCAAGTGGAAAATAACAAGTTATTGTTTATCACAATATTATAAAGTTCTTTCGAAAAATCTAAAAACCGTACATTAAATACTTCATTTGTATATCTTCCATCAATTGTTCTCTACATCCTTCATGATTCTTTCAATTCCCAATTCCTTTATGTTTCCGTTTCTGTTTTCTTCACTTCAATCTTTCCAGCCTCCTTTTGACAGGCGTTCGAGCTCCGATAGGTGTTACATACTACTTATGTCGACAGACATAAGTAGTATACATCACCAATCAACTCGAGTTTGTGTACTTGTAATAATGATTTGACTAATTTTATTATTTAAATGTTTCACTGATATTTATTTTCATACTGTATTATATGCACATTTACATACAATTCTGGACTTCTTCATTATGAGTCATCTGAGTTCGACTTTCATATTACACGTTCTCAACGAAATTCAAGTACTAAAAATCACTTATTTTTAAAAAATTAAATTCATGAGTTTATCTGTTTTACCTATTTACAAAGCAAATCATTAGCTCTACCGCAACAAATTTAGCCTTATGTCATTTAAGAAATTATTGAGAATGATCATATCAGAGAACCTTAAATGAATTCAGGTACTTGTAAAATATAATTGTTAATATTAGCTCAGTAGATTGTTTAACAAAACTTTATCTTATTCATAAAATTATGTGATATTTAACTCATGTCTATACTGGTTGCAATTAGATATGAATTTTGGAAACAAAAGATTAACAAATATGTTAACTGATTTTTTGTGGGTAAATGTGATATGGTGGAGATTTGTAGCTCAGGTGGATGATTTTGATAGAGTACAGAAAAAACTTCAAGCAGACGTTTGTGCTGATGATGTCGTTCAGAATAACGACGAAAGCAACACGACCAAATTATCCAGCTCAGAAAACAGAACTCCATCAAAATTGAATAAATGTGTAATGCAGGATATCCTGCTACAATTTCAACGATAATTATGGTACTATGGGTAACAGCTCCATTATCTTTTCTAATCACTACTTCTTCAAAAGACCAATCTTGTCAAGAAGATCTACTAGACGAGACCAATTTAATTCGGTCGCATACCAATTGAATGATTATTAATTACAAATTTTTATCAACTAAATAATTATCACTAAATGTAAAATCATAATTAAATAATCAAAGAATAAAATGGACTACGAATCAAATAACTAATTACAGCTGAAATACACTGGAGGTTGATGATGACACTTCATTATGAATAATTTAGTATAACGAAATGCTTGAAGTTGACTGAACGAAAATTACCCTAATTATATACACGAAATAAAGATCGGATTTGGGAACAAAGCATATTCAATAAAAATATCCCCATTTAAATAGAGTAGGATATATTCAAGACGATTTCAACATGTTTCCATTTTTTTATCTCTCAAGTATACAGCGTTGACAGTGTAATCGATATTTACACTGAATCAAATATCGTTCACAGAGTAGAGAAGAAAGAAAAAAGCAAGGTCACATCCCAACTAAAATATTAACTACATATTCTTTCAAAGTGCTAACAAGTCATAGCTTTCTACATTTCGAAACATGTTTCTACTCGAATAAGGTTACATGAAAATTTGATTTTTAATATGAGCTAACTGAAACTTCAAAATAAGATTAAATTTATCATACATACGTTCGTTATTTCTTTTAGATCGTGAATAGATTGAGATCAAGTTATTTAGTGTTTATTACTGTTACTATCTATACTATTACTGTATACTGTCACAATATCTAGTGTAGATAGGCGTCTAGGCATCCGTAGCACAATCAACACTCATCCTAATTAATCAAACTTTACAGCCTCATAAACCAGTGTACTGTCTTTAATCAATAAACCACGTATTAATAGAGAATTACTTGTGTGAATGTTCCACATTATACGAGTGATACTTTGGAAATATAACTGATAGCATACAAGTAACACATAGATTTTTTTTATGTTTATGAATATTACCTTATAGTTGCGTGATATGAACTATTGGGCGATTTATTAGCATAAATATTCAGTTCGAATGTTTTTAGGGCTAAGATAATAAACGTATAAAAGTCTCAAAAAATATCATTACCAAACAAATTTCTTCAGGTACGAATACTGATCCTATTGCATTCAAAATCTCTGGTAAGTACTTCGAGGTGTATTTGTCACACTAAACAGAAAGTATTTAAAAAAGGAAAAAATATTAAAAATTTTACTGAACAACTTCAAACTGGATGAATTAATTTGTAGAAACATTTTGATATTTTAGATAAGCTAGACTTCTAGCCAAAATGCTAAATGACTTAATTTATCCTCATTCACAAAAGCATTATTCATGAAAGTCTTGATGGACTATTGAACTTTGTCACCCTTCCCAAGTTATGTTTAAACATATTTTTATAAACGTTTTAAATATTAAATATCAAAATTTAAACTGAATAGCCCATTTATATGTCTAGGGTGTTTATAAGTAAATATAAATGGTGAAGTAGTATTCAGCGAATAGCTACTTAGTCTTAGTTTGGGACTCCCTAGCTCACTATGAGCCCATTAATGATCGGACCATTATGTCTAGTATCAAGTACACTTAAAATGAATTATCGTCTTATTACATTCATAATGATAAAAGTCATCATAAATATTTATAGTGAGTATAACTTACAATTTTTTTTATTTTTTCAGAAGAGATGAATGCACACAGTTTTTCAGCACCCAACATGTATATATCACGCCAATAGACATCATTCACAAAATAGCGTGCTAAACTACATCCTGATAGACAAAATTCACATTCTGTATTGTAACAAAATTTAGTAATATGATTAAATTTAGGTGCTTATAAGAAAATCGCTCTTTAACACAAAGTGTGCTAGTCATGTATATGAAATCATTACCAGCCCTTCCGATTGAGACTCACCTTATAGTACTGCTTGTTAACCTGAGAAATTAGCTTTTAATTGAGTTCACATCTCCGTCGAATCCAATGCATCTCTTACCATGGTTTATCAGAAAACGAGGTCAATCAGTTATGTCTTTTGTTCCTTGTCAAACATCCATTTCGAGACAATCAGTCTTTGTACCACACTGCTATGGTGCAACAGATCACAATTTAACGAAACGTCATCAATATTTCTACCATTAAACAAGCATTCTGTCCGTAAATTTATGATGCAATAAACAATAAATAATACATAATTTATATTATTGTGCAGCTATAAATAAGATAACCTGCTGTAAATGTTTCCTTTGTTAAGTATGCTATATTAGAAATCGATGTGTACACTTGAATGTAATGAAAACACCATATTCAAAATACATATTTATTTGTAATAAAAAAAATGTGAAAACTAAGGAAGCCAAACACAACACTTTAACGCAGTAAACCACTGTCTAAGGGAATCATATTTATTTACGAATTAAATGGAAGATAAATTGAATAAAACCTTTCGGTGACCATTTGAATACAATTTATTAAGTAAACATAAGTATAACCATGGCAATCCATCAACTAATGTAAAATTAGTGACCAGTATGATGATTTTATCAAAGAAATCGTTTATCTCATTATTTCAACATGGTTTGAAGATAAAATCATTTAAAATAAAAACGAGTTTGAGTATTAGTTGGTGTTTGTTTTGAAGTCCTAATGAACACGCTTATTACCAATCACTTTACATGTTTATAATTTATAGATAGAAGAAAGAAATTTTAGTGACATTTTTTCATTAAAATCACTCTCTTAAGTTACAAATCTTCCCTGACATTTCACAATACCAATTCATCTCCCTCAAAAGAGGTAAAGCTAACCATATAAAGATTAATGTTCAACACAGAACTGCTAAACTCTTAATGGCTAATAATGTTAAATTTCAATATTATTCAGGTGCTAAGTCAAAACATAACAAGTCATTTATAAGTAATAATGATATCAATAATAAATAAACATAAAGTGCCCCAGCATATCACTATGATCACGAAATTATAAAATATATACTTACCCCAAGTAATGTTTCGCATCCCACAGTTATTTTCCTTGAACAAAGATCGAAAACGTAGGAAACGTTTACTGTCTCCTAAATATAAAATAGGCTACACACTTTCAAATTAAAATGTTAAAATACATCACAAATATCATTAGTGGAGTGACCATAGTACGTAACCTTTAAATTAGCAAACTGTATTGTGAGAAGTAATGAGATTTATTTAAATGGTTCATGTACCAATACAATCTTTAGAATAATCTATTTCTCAATACTGCCAATATATTTTATACCTAAAGACTACTTTTTTTAGCTTAATATATTACTCTTTCATTATAGATATCTATGAGCATTTAGAAAAGTTAAATTAATATCTTTCCCGTTTCTGAATTTCTGTGAACCATTTATTCATTTATAAGTATTAACCATACACAATTCAGTAATTACAAATCACACTGTGAACTAATCTTTCTTAATAGTTGAATTCATGAGTCAATTAAAGCTAGATCAACATGGAAAACCTGAAAGAATTGGACGGTCGTTTCGTCCTAGTATGGGACTTCTCAGGAGTGAACACCTGCGATCCCACCTCGTGAGATTCAAACCCAGGACCTTTCAGTCTCGCGCGCGATCGCTTAACCTCTGAACCACCGAGCCAGCATCCAACGGTGTCAATGTCTAACTTCAACTGTGCAGTGATCCCAGAAAGACATGAAAGACATTTGCGAAATGTTTTTACTTGTAGCTTAAAATTAAATATTAACCTATTTCACAGTAATTTACGTTACAAATTATTCGCGAAAGAAAATTTGAAATATTTACGTTTCTCACTCCCACACTCCGCAGAACTATATTTATGATTGGAATCTACTCAGAAATGATCAATTTACCTTACAAATGATCAAAACTAACAATTAATAAATCAATCATTAAAAAGAAGAATGAATATTATACATAATTTTGTTATTATTATTATTAATTCTAAGAAAATTCCAAAATTTACTTCAACTTTTGTCATTTTAAATGCATCAGAAGTGTAGGAAATACAAAATATGAATAAGATAGTAACCAACATTAATTGATTGTATTTAAAACAGTGGAGTTAAAATGCCACTAACGTATATATATATATATATATATATATATATATATATATATATATATATATATATATATATATATATATATATATATATATATATATATATATGTTCTATAATGAAATTACGGTATCAATAAATAACCTTTACTCATTCAAATGATAAAATAGTATGATCCAATTTTCAACTAACAAAATTCTCTTACTAAAATTGATCTAATAGTTGATTCATTTCATTTAAAATTTAGTCAACAATTTATTTTAATAATGATCAAAGTCTGTAGCGTGATTTTTTAAACAAAAAAAAACACGCGTTAATAATTTAAAGTATGATGAATTAGGGAAGATATTGAAACCGTTCATCATGATACATTAAAAAGAAGAATATATTTGTAAAATCTCAGCGAGTGAATTTTAAGTAAATCCAACGTTTCGCCTGGCAATCTGGTCCAAGCTTTTTCAAGGAAAATATAATCAAACAACAAATATTGTGAAACTATTCGTTCAAATTTAGACGAAAGTTCTTATTTATCGTTCATCATGATGTTTTTCCATACTTTATAAATTTATATGTTAATAAGATATTTAAAAGTCATGAAAAATTATTGAGGTTATACTTGAACATGTAACATTATCTTCATTAAACAAAAACAGTGATCTTTTTTTAAAATTGTTAAATTGAAATTAAATATTTCATTCATATAGTTCCGTTTATTATCTTCAACAAAGCAAGAACAAAGTTTGGTGCAGAATAATATGAATCCATTTTATTTCGTTAGATTCTCATCAGTTGCTTACAACGTATAATATTTAAAATCAACGTTATTACACATATTGACATACTTATACATACGAGGGTGATTAAAGATGTATCATGATATAGCGAAGATTTCAATAGATTTAATAAGATCATAAAAATTTTGTTTTGAGCAAATAAAGTTTGGGAGGGAAGGTTCTAGAACATTGAAATAGTGATTAGAACTCATGAAGTTAACAAACATTAGACGATTAAGTAATCAAGCAACTGACAATAGATTAATGGTAATAAAGAAAGATATGAATTGAAATCAGTCAGTTATGAAATAATGAAAAATGACAATGATGTAATTTAGACTTCAGAAACAGTTGAAATAATGAATGACGTAATAAATAAAAAAGGGGTTTAATGTTACCAGGGCAAAAGAAGATTTATTGCTGCCTCTTTTTAGGTATATAGATCTGGTTTTAGGCATTTGATTGATCTCGCTTCGGAAAATTTCAAAAGGTTGGAGTTTGGTTGTTTGTTAATCACCTTGAAGGATTTCAGTGTACTGACTTCATTTTTTGTGTCAAAATGTCTTGCGATGGCACTGCTGATTGCTTTTAATCCATTTGTTTCACTCTATTTCTCGTCAATCATTCTAATTAAAATGGTGGGGAAGATTTGTACCTCAGGTTTAGATATTAGATTAAGTTTTTTGCTCTTAACTAAGTGGTTTAACTATAAGGCTTTTCTGTAGATATGGGAGTTCATAAGAATAAATATGAATAAGAAGCGCACTTGACCGGGAGTACATAGACGTTTTCTTAGTTTTTTTACCCCTCTAATGCAAAGTGATCTAATGAAGATTGGTGATTTTTTGCTCCATAGAAGTAGTTAGCAAGATACTGAATAATTTGTATTATGTTCGAAATTTATTAATCAAACACCTCATCACCAGACTAGAAAAAATATATGAAGAAGCTATTGACAAGATTTTACTATTTACCCTAACAAGATTTAATGGTGATACACCTTTAACTCAACAGAGTGAATGAAGTGGTGACAAAGACACTAAAACTAAATTGCATAATTTAGTTGCTAGTTTTATATTTCTTGATTCAACTGCTCTTGTGAAGTAAAGTAATATAAACTGATATTCTATGAATTCATTTTTGCTGATAGATGTAATTAAAAGTGTAAACAATTCGACTTCAACTTACGTAATTCAATGGACCTATAACCAAACAATTAACTTTCTACTGTCTCATACTGAATTCATGAATTGCATAGTTTCCAATCGAACACACAAGATCATCAATAATTATAGTATTATTTTTCTCAATTTACATTGCTTGTACTTATTTTGATTAGAATATTCGCCATTTTATTTCACCTACAATCCAATTCACTGAATTATTACATATTGGTCATTTCAACATACGTAGATGGTCGTTTCCTTTATAAGGCTTTGTACCAAATCGAACCCGTTCATTTATAACAATGACTTATACTTCAAAATATTTCAGGTTCCTAATTTTTCAAATTATTAACAAAGGACTAGCATGACAATATAGTCTAACGAAGTGATGTTTAGTGTATACAATAGATATAAAACTAAAGGCTATATATATACTTGTCATTTATCTTATTTTTACTTAAAATTGAGCACAATAGTGTCAAACAGGTAAGTAATTACTATAATCTATATTTAATGATCAGTCTATATAAAAATGAATAGCTAGTGAATACCAACAATGTATATATGGCCCAATACGAATTTGGGTCTCATTTAGTGCATGATACTACCCAGTTACTGAATCTCAAAAACTCATCTTTGACATTAGTTAACAATAGTTATTTTCTAATGTAGTATAAAAACTTCTCAAAGAATATTACTATTTTTATAATTATAAACTAAATGATTCACTACATAATGTTTATTTGGCAAAATTTATTATCAAAAAGAGTTTTATTAAAAAGCTAAATTCGAATTTGAACTGCTATTCTTATACTAATAGTTTAGGTAACAAATATCATTGCATTAAAATCCACTTATGTATACAATTAATACTGTTTTATGCATAAACTTTAATCATACCACTAATTTCAAAGCTAAATTTCAATGTCGGCTTTTAAATTATAAAGAAACTAACTGATTAACTAAACATATTGTTTATGTGATGTGTTTTAATAAAGTAAATGATAAACTCATCTTTATATCAAAATGTAATCTACGGCTTGATGGATTATTCTTTTATGTTAACAATAATAAGTGTTAGATTTAAAAGAATCGCTAAGTATTTTATGTATTGTTCTTTTTGTTTACTTTTCTGAGAGGAAGAAAGACTACACATTTGTTTATGGTAATAATATTGTAGTGAACGAGAACTCAAGTGGAAAATAACAAGTTATTGTTTATCACAATATTATAAAGTTCTTTCGAAAAATCTAAAAACCGTACATTAAATACTTCATTTGTATATCTTCCATCAATTGTTCTCTACATCCTTTATGATTCTTTCAATTCTCTATTCCCTTGTGTTTCCGTTTCTGTTTTCTTCACTTCAATCTTTCCAGCCTCCTTTTGACAGGCATTCGAGTTCCGATAGGTGTTACATACTATTTATATCTGTCGACATAAGTAGAATACACCACAACATTAGTTAAATAAAGATTTTTCAGTAGATATAATCATGATTTAACAAATATTACTGATTATTATATAGTGGTAACTGTGTCTTATAATATCTCAACTGAATGAGATGTACTCACTTACCCTATCCTTGAATAATACTTGTCTTGAATCATAATAATACAATAGTCCAAATTGAATACATGACCAGTGGAGTTCAACCGGGTCTGTTGTGAGATAATAACTCACTGAGGACAATGATGGATGCATCGCTCAGTTCCGTGGATTGATTGAAGTTAGACATTAACACCGTTGGATGCAGGCTCAGTGGTCTAATGATAACGTGCTGGCGCGCGAGCCGGATAGGTCCAGGTTCGAATCTCGTGAGGCGTGATCGTGGACGCACTGCTGAGAAGTCCAATTCTTTCAGGTTTTCCGCGGTGATCTAGCTTCAATTGACTCATGATCTCTACTATTAAAATTAACTTGTTGGTTAAAGGAATTATAAAAAGTATACTCTCTCAAACGTTTCTGATACAAATAAAAAAACAAGCTGAACATGTTCAATTACTTTTTTAAAAAAAGGAAAAATAAATTCACTAATATTCAACAGGATCACTGCAGTATTAATTATTTTTAAATAGCTATCTATAGCTAAGAGTTTAAATAATGTGGATGATGGAAATTTTTCTTTTTGACCACTAACTGTATAAATCAAACAAAATACGTTAAATCATATGAATACCAAATATATATACTAGTAGATACCATTATTATTATTATTATTATTATTATTATTATTATTATTATTATTATTATTATTATTATTATTATTATTATTACAATCCCACCAATTTATGAATATCCCATGCTAAACTTTATTGATTTTCTATCATCCAACTAGCTAAAATTAATACCATAGTAGAATTGGCGCCCTGCTTGAACATCTGGGCTACCTGTTCCTGTCATCTAAATATTTCAACAAGTTATCTATTTTTGTATGTTTTAATACATCATTATGTCTGTTAATTGCATAACCTATTTAGGTTTGTTTCTGAAAAGCATACAATCTTTCGTTGTACAAGCTACAGAAAGCTTAATCAGAGATATCGTGGTTGCTAGCAGTATCCAGCGAAAAGAATGTACATCATTTCAATGTCGATTTACTGAACTGTTAACATCTAACCGGCAATCACTCAATATTTATCATCAGAATCGAACATGAGGTAAGATACTTGTTGAGATATTTTGTTCTGAGAATTCTATATTGTACCATAAATATAATATTGAATTAAGCTAATAATAACATTAGAATAAATAAATAAACAGTCAAATAATTTAAACAATAATTATAAAATTTGGGGATACTTAAATTTTACTGAAACCATAGCAGTCATAAAACAAACTAATCATTAGATATATTGAAATTGAAAGCATTGGTAAATCAATAATTTTAAAAAAAGCACTTTAAACAAACGATTTAAATTTAGTCTCAACAACACAATCTACTTAGAAACAATTAATATAAACAAAACCAACCAATTATTTTTTTCAAGTTGCACGGAATTATTTAATGTAAACCTTGATGATTAGACGTTATTGTCACTTTATCATTTACATGAAGACTATTAACAGAACAAAGCTAAAAACG